GCGCTGGGGGTCCCTCCCAGCCTCCTGGGTGTTCGGGGTGGCCGCCGGAGGGAAGGAGGCAGGGGCTGGGGTCTGTTATATCCTTGTGGGTGTAGAACTCAACAGCGGGGAAGGGACAGAGAGAAAGAGACAGACACTGGGAACTACCCAAGCTATACAAAGGAAGAGAAAAACTCCTGAAACACAGAGGAGAATGCACAAAAAGGAACACACACAAAGGAACACCCATACAGACAGATCCCCGAGAAGCACGGCAAAAACTCACGAAGTCATACACATTCACAGAAACACACTCAAACGCACAGGCACAGAGGAACAAAGCGGGTGGTCTTTGGAGGCCATGAGCAGGGGGAGGGGAAAGGACATTCGGAGAAGGGGAGAGAAGGAGGGAGGGGGAAACGTCGCAGCAGTGGAGACGAAACCGGAGCGGGGAATGGAGAGACAGAAAGAAATGGGAGGAGGGAAGAATAAGACTAAAGGAGATAGTACTTTAGGAGGGACAGTATAGACACACATCTAGAGAAACTGAGGCAGACGCTGAGAATTGGCCCCCCACCCCCAACATATAAATCCGAGATACAGAGATGGAAGAGACCCCAGACATCTCACCCTTGTGGGCAAGTGAGTTCCAGTGGAAGAGTAGCTATGTGAGAACTCTGAGAAAGACCTCCTTGGTACTATTGAGCAACTCAGGTCTCCACCTTGTCCACCTGGCGAACTCCTATTCATCCTGCAAAACCCAGCTCTAGCATCACCTGCCCTGTGAAGAAGGCTTAATCAGAAAAATGTCACCCAATCACAGTTACTCTCTTTTCCGTGTATTTCTGCATATGGCACAGGCATGTAGAGTTGAAATGGTTTGTTGGTCTGTCTACCTCTTCCCCTGGCTCTTCAATTTTTGAGGTCCATGTCTTAATTTATTATCAATTTGCAATATCAGCCTAGCGCTTGGTACATAGTAGATGGTCAATAAATACTTATTAAGTGACAAACAGGAGCATTTGGACCCTCTAAGACAGGGAACACAGAATTAAATCCAAATAGAGGACTCACAGAGACTCCCAGGTCAAAGCATCCTTTTTTGTAAATGAAGAAGTTAAAACCAGAGAGGGGAGAAGACTTGCTTATAGGGACACAAGCAGGAAAAGACCATTGTGAATACATACTAGTACTTCGAGACTTCCTTGTTCCTCCAGCCTATGAGTTTAAAATCGGTGTGAAAAAACCTCCTGAATGAAAACAATCAATAGACGACAGGTTAATACCAGCTGTAAGTTTCCAACACTGAACTGACCATCAAAACTTCTTCCAGAATCTAGAATATTTAGACTTCTCTTTACTGTGAAAGGAAAAGGGAGGTGAATGTTCACCTCTGCTTATGTGGCTGGCTTTCTGCCTCCTGACTGTATAAACTTGCACAAATGTCTTAACCCCTCCCGCCCCCCGAACCTCAGTTTCTTCAACTATAAATGGGGATACGAACACCTGTCTCATAGGTTAGAAGACTTAACACCCGACGTGCCTAGCACGGAGGATGCCTTCAGTGTAGACACTCGTGCCCTTCTCTTTCTGAAGTGGGCATTCTTCCATGCACCGGTTGTAAATGAAGACAACAGTACTGGTGAAAATGTTTCCTTTTGTCCCAGGACAGAAACCCAGCCTGGTCCATCTGGGGAGCACACTCTTTTTATTAAAAAAAAAAAAAGGCAAATTTGGGGCATGGCATAAAATGCATCTTGATTCTATGGAGGCCTTCAGGTCTCTGCAGGTGACTTGGGGCACCCTAACTCCCCCACCACCAATCCCTCCTCCCCCAGCAGGTAAGACCCCCCCACTGCCCCATCCTTTTTGCACCTTCCTTACCAGGCCTGCTCTGCCCTGTGTCTTTCAAGCTTTAGCCCTTGTGGGGAGTGTGACCGGGACCGAGGAGCCACCAGAAGCATGGAGACGGTGGTGATCGTTGCCATAGGCGTGCTGGCCACCATCTTCCTGGCCTCGTTTGCAACCTTGGTGGTGGTTTGCAGGCAGCGGTACTGCCGACCTCGGCCCCGGGACCTGCTGCAGCGCTATGATTCCAAGTGAGTGCACCGGGCAGGGGAGGGTGGAGGGGGGCTGTGCCCTGGGGCTCCCACAAAAGAAAAAGCAGCTTAGTGCTGGGCAACTGGCTCGGCTTTTTGTCTCTGCAATGGTGCCTGAAGGCTCTCCTTCCCAATAAAGACCTTAGAGCTTGAGAATGTCCTAAGCCCCCAGCATCCTGAGCCGCCTCTGACTCTGTCCCTGAACGATCGAGAAAGCAGCTCCACGTGGTCGCCTAGCGTAATGGTGGGACCGGCTGCACAAAACGGCCACCTCACTCAGCATTTGGACAAGCCACATCCCTTTCCAACCAAACTCAGGAAGAGGAATCGATGCCCGCATGTCTAACCAGTAGACACTTGGTGGTGTGAAATCCCAGCATAGGCCTATCTCTCTCTCTGCTCAGATTTCTTGTTTTTTTAGTATATTTTTTATTGATTTCAGAGAGTAAGGGAGAGGGAGAGAGAGGTAGAAACATCAGTGAGGAGAGAGAATCATTGATCAGCTGCCTCCTGCATGCCCCACACTGGGGATCAAGCTCGCAACCCGGGTATGTGCTCTGACCGGGACTTGAACTGTGACCTCCTGATTCATAGGTTGACGCTTTAACCACTGAGCAACACCGGCTGGGCTCTGTAACCTTTCTCTTGTTGTTTTCGTGCCTTGCTTGCTCCTTGATTCACTGTCGAGTCACGTACCCTGCCCATGACTGCAGTCCCATTAGCTCAGGTTTGGATCCAGGACAAGTGGTCCTGCTTTACTTATTCACTCCTGTCAGCCTTTGGGGGGTACGTGGGCCTCTGTGCAGAGGTGTCAGTCGCGGTCGTCCATCCTGAAGCCGCTTCCCTGGGCTCTTCCTTCCAGGCCCATTGTGGACCTCATCGGTGCCATGGAGACCCAGTCTGAGCCCTCTGAGCTGGAACTGGACGACGTCGTCATCACCAACCCCCACATCGAGGCCATTCTGGAGAACGAAGACTGGATCGAGGATGCCTCGTAAGGCCTTGGGGATGGCCTGCCTTCCTGGAGCCCCTGGGGATAGTCGGAGGGACTCCCTTGCACCCTTTCCTAGCTTCCTGCGCCCGAACACGTGACTGGGCATCCAGGAGCCCTGCGCCCGTTGCTGCTCTTTCCAAGCTTTCCCCCGAATGTTCTCATGAGGAGGGAAATCAGAATATGACATAACAGTGTTTGTCCGGGACTCACCCCCGCCCCTCATGTTGCAGACCTGAACACTGGGCTTCATAGATGTACGGCAGAAATTGTTATAAAGTCGCCCTGGGGTGCTTGGTTATCCTTGGGGTGCCCTTGAATCTGACAGGCAGGCTCTGTGGGTGCAGCCTTTGTCCTCAGTGTCCTCAGGGATCTCTCCATCCCGGGCAGATGTCTGTCTGTGAGGCAATGTGTGCAGGGCCCTGGGCCAGGCACCGCAGGTATTAAACTGGCGGTGGAGACAGAATTCTAAGTACAGTATCTTAGAGATGATAGGGGTGCACACAGCCCAGTGGGTGCGCGGCAGAGGCGGTGTCCATGGTTGCCTCGGGTGGGGAGGTGGGAGTGGAAGGAGCGGCATCAGCAGCTCAGAGCACGACTGGATTGGTGGGGAGTCGCGTTGACAAAGCGTTGATTAGGTGGGGGTGGGAGGAGAAGGGTAAGGACAGAGGGGCTTCCTCAGTAGCTCCTGGACTTGTTCATTTGAACATGACGAGGCATCGCTGCTCTTAGGTGGTGCCCAGGTGTGCAGAGCTAGGTGAGGAGCTAGGTGAGGAGCAGCGGTGGGGGCTGGGGGGAGGTGGGCCTCTGAAGATCAGCACTGACACGCTCTTCTTGTCTCCCCAGGGGTCTCATGTCCCACTGCATTGCCATCTTGAAGGTAATACTCTTTGACCGCCCCAGGCGATAAAGGGAGTCGTCAGCAGAGCACCCCGGTGCACACTGGTTAGAGTTGAAAGCAGCCTTAGGAAGGGCACGGGACCCTTGCAGGAGGCCTTTTTAACCTGCCTTGAAGCTTGGAGTTTCGACAGTTCGCTTCCACTCCTACAGGGACAGTCTGTCATACTGCAGAGGCTTGGTTGCACCTGGTCCTCATAGCACAGTGACCTGTGGGAAAGACCACCTGGGTAGTCACCAGCCACATTGTCACCAACTGTGGATATAGCTGTGTGCCTGAGACGGTGTAGCTGCTGAGGGGGAAACGCGGCTTCCCACCTTCCCCCTGGGCACCTTCTTTCATTCACAGAGAGCTCCGCCCTGTAGAGTGGGTTGGGTTCTGTATCTGGGCTTTTCCAATGCTAGAAAGCCCGTCACCGGCCCTTTTTGGCGGTGACAGCAGTCAGCCAAGTGGGACAGTCAGTGCTAAAAAATCCAAACCACGCGTTCTTCAAATTGAAGACAGATTTTTTTTTCTTCCTCCTTAAATGTCTGCAGCCTCCAGGACTGGGTGAAAAATTGCAGCCAATTTGCATTTTGGGTCATTTTTATAGTTTCAGCATTTGTTTTTCAGTGTTTGCCAGACACGATCCTGCCTAATAGAATCATAGTAATATTGAAATACTTGGCCATTTCTAAATAGTGTTGGTGTCTTCATATCTGTAACCTGGGAAACCACACATTTATCTTTATCTAGGACTTATTCAGAATTTCAAAGCAAATAGCTTCATCTTCGCTTCAGCGTCTTGCAGTGTAAGATACTAAACACCTTTCCTCCCGCCTCTTCTCCCGCTGTCTCTCTTGGGGGACAACGAAATGCCTAGTAGGACATTGTTGTCACCGAGTCCTGGTGACAACATTTATATTTATATATAATTCCAATATGCTCTCTGGGTATAGATGCGGTTGTAGACAGCGATAGAGCAATAACGGCATATTCCATCTCTCTTTCCCCAGCCGGGGCGTGTCCTGGCCCTGGCGTTTGTCCCTTCCCTTGCCTATTAGAGGAGGACAGTGGCCCCTGAAGGAGAGGATGAGTCAGCCGGAAGGAGTCTTTTGTTTATTTATTTATTATTTATTTTATTCTTTATTGTTTGAAGTATTACATATGTTTCCTTTTTCCCCATTGACCTCTCCCTGGCACTCCCCCCACCCCAGCAAATGCCCTCAGCCCCCTAG